GCGCTTTAATTACCGAACGCACGATGTTCAAGAGTGGCTTGATTAAAATTACAATCACGCTTCAAGGATGAAATCAAGATTCATCTCGGCTTCGGTCTGAACTATTTCGTCCTCTTAGTTTCATTCATGCGTTACTTAATCCAGGCGCAGTCTCGCTCGCGACTATCTTTCAACGGAAATTTACGGAATGCAACTTCCTCTTTCACGTGATCTCTCTCTCTCTCTCTCTCTCTCTCTCTCTCTCTCTCTCTCTCTCTCTCTCTCTCTTTCTGTCTCTACGAAAATAGCGGAAAGAAATTTAATTTGAATGCTAAAGTCAAACTGTGTCGCGCTTTGACGAAAGGAACGTTCGTTTGAGTTTATCTTCGATTCTTGTTATCTACATTTCCGCTTTGATTATCCTCCTTGTTCGTCCTTTGCTCTCTCGTCGCTTTTCATCGAAACTTTTACCTTCCATTCTTATTCATGAGCTAATAGAGTGTATTATCCGACAAAGGTTACGAAAGGTTTGGACGAAATTTAAATTCCCTTGGTGCGGGGAGAACCGGGTATTGGAAACACGGCGTTTTTAACATTTTTAAGGAATTCGTCGATCGTCAGAAAAAAAAAAAATAGTGTTAGTGTTGCCAAGTCGAGTAAATAGATGAAATTGAATGGAAATCACGCGAGTGTTGGTTCACGCGGCGTGGAACAGTCGGCCTTAAAACGTTTTTGGCCTTGTTTCAGTAAACCGCGATGAATAATGGGAAAACCAATTGCAATTAGGTTCGAATGACGTGATTGCAATGATACCGACCGTACGATTACTTGTTCTTTAGCCGGCGTAGCTCGCGAGTGAGCAACCGTGCTTCCGCCTGGCGCAGTTCCGCCTCATCGTTGCTTCATTATCCGTACTTAACGAAGCTTTTCTGCAAAGCACCGCGATCGATTCGAGCCAGTTTTTCTCTCGTGGAAAAATAGACCATCGAGCGCCCGAGAGAGAAAATATTCCGCCTTTGAATACACACGTATACGCGCGTTACGTGCGGAGGAAATGGAATAATTTTATAATCATTTCTCTTGCGTTTCTCTTGTTTACGAGGAATAATTAATTAATTAAGAGAGAACCGTGAAATCAGGACAATGTTAGTCTGTTGCTAATGAACTAACGAAACGAGACGCGAGATTGATGATTGAAACATAATCTATATCTAAACCGGGTAAATCATAATTGTAATGTGATCAAATATTAATAATTAGGAATCGTAATATGTACAAATCGTAGCGAACGTTCGTAATTCTTCTAAAAAGGATTGTAATGTGTGTTTGCAACGCGATGCAAATAAACAATCTCGAGTCGTAGAAACTTGAAAGTCGTAAAGTTGATTCCTCCCCCGGGCGAATCTTACCAATTTCGAACTCGCGAGTGATATTCCCTCAGAAGAACAACCCGAGGATGATCACTTTAAACTACGTGACGAGAGCAACAAAGATGCATTTGCATCTCAAACGGCCGATATTAAGAAGTTGAATCATTCCCGTGATGCATTACAGTAGCCTCTTTGCACCGCGGCCGAATGTTCTTCCTCGGCGAGGTACACTCCAAACGCGAAACTTCAGCCAGGGTATATTCAGTTTGGGAAAAAGAACTTTCCGGAAGCGACAACTTCTTTGCAGACATTTATTACACTTCACCGATACAGCCCAATAATTGGCTTCCGACGATTTGATTTCGTAGCAACAACTTTCTCTTTTCGAGCTCTCGTAACTTTTTCTCTGATCGTACATAACTCGCGATCTGAATCCGGATTGAGCAAAAATATTTATATTTCTAGTATTTCGCCGAGTGAAAGTATCCAGCGCTACGTTCTCTCATTTTCTGCGTTCCGTTGTTCCGAGGAAAAATGTCACGCGAAAACAGGGCAGCGCAATCTGAATTGCGCATTCATACGTTTTCTTAAATCCTTCGATATTTGTGAACGTGAAATTTTAAAAAACTTGTTCCACATTCTCCCTGCGATGTTCCTCTGTCTTTGTCTTAACTCTGTCACAGCTATTATAAATACAAAAGGAAGAAAGAGAAATCGAGTTTTAGGGAAATACACACGTATACAAATATTTTTCATTCGATAAAATTCGTGGTTTGCCAGATTGCTCGTGAAATCTGTATCAAATCTGTACCATTTCAGCGAACTGATTGCACTCTTTTTCTTTTTACACGGGCAACTAAGCTACTAAATCGCGTTAATATTTTAATCACCTGTTGAGTCGCCATTTCCTACCCTCTTGCCATTTCACTCGCAGTTTTATTAATGCTACACGTATTTCATCGCGGTGCTCCGATATCTGGCACTTATCCTCACACGTGCCAGAAGATTTACATTAACGAAGAAATCTCCGCGACTATCCCAGCCTCCTATTGCGAGTCTGTTGTTCAAATGAACTGAACAACTCTTTCCACGGCTGATTTTTAATTCACTCGCGGAATTTCATCCGTTCTGTTAAATCTCGATTTTAAATCGAAAATGTAGCGCGATTAACAGCACAGATTGTAGCCAAATATAAATGGAATCGGCAAAAGAAGACGCACGAGGACGCGCCTCTTGATACCTCCTTACGAGAACTTCACAATCGAGTTTTGCAACCGGGGCACGGCAACAACCCTCGCAAGTTGGGAGAGTCACTCAGCTATCAAGCACCCACTCGAAAAGTAGAAACTGGAAGTCACATGTTGCGACGCGGAAACCGCGCAGGCAGGCCAGGCAACTTCCATTCCCTCCCATCACCTGCACCGCAATACCCTGATAATACCGCAACGTGCATTCGCACCCCGTGAGCAGACGCCACGCGTAACTGCACGCCGCCCCGAGCTGCCACACCTGCGAACGCTACTTTGCAAGCTTCACCCAGGGCCAAATTCCGAAACGAAATTAGAGGGGAGGCGCGAGTTTCCATCGAGCCGGCTAAATTTTCGACGTCTCTGTGCATTATATCAGAGGGGGGAACTCGCACGTTCAACAACCGAGAAGGAAAGCAGGCGCGATCCCATCATTTTCAATTTCAGGCTCGTTCGGCTGCTTGGTTGAAAGACGAATGAACACGTCTTTTTTGTTTTTTAATTTAAGCTTCGAGACAATTGAGAGGAAGTGAGAATATGAATTTTGTACGAGGAAAGAGAAGTTTGTTCGTGAATTTCACACCTTCGATTTGATGGAAATACGGGGAAAGAACCTACCCCAAAATTGATCTTGATCTTGCATTCCAAGGTCGAGAATTTTTCTCCTTTTCGTTTGCATTGTATTCTAGTCATCGCGAAGGTAAAACTTTTACAAGGTACCATAGGTCGCGAGCTGATAGAAAAAAGTTTCTCAATCATTGAACATTGCGGACGCGTTCTAACAGCGACCTTATGGATTAAGTTTCGCTAACATTTGATTATCATGATTGTAGCGTCGGTGTGAGTCTAAATAATCAAACAATAAAACTAGTTAACATATAACACACTACAACATACTATAACGTCACTCGAAATATAAATATTACGTAAAATGGACGTCCACGTGTCCAAAATTATAAAGTCGCTGTTAGAACGCACGCTAAATAATTAAGAAACACTTCTGCCATTTTTCACGGGAACCTATTATGATTCCTTGCGATAGGATAAATGTTATACGTGTTATTAAGACATACGATGATATGACTTTATAAACTTTTGAAAAATTCTTCGTTTCACAGTGAAACGTGAAACAATGAATGATGATTCCAAATGGCTCGAACGAAAAGTTTACTGCGTGTATACGAAATGTGTTAAATGAATGAACTTGGTCTAGACTCAAGAGTATGGTTGAACACCTTCCATTTTGGAAAGAGGCAAGGTTTCGGGGATCGAGGCTACCGCAGATAAGTTTTCAATGTACATTAATTGGAAGGGTGGGTGGGGGAGATTTCTTTTTCCTTTGTTTCGATCGTTCCCTGCCGCAGTCGAATCGAGAGAGATCTGTGCCGAGGCACGTCTGAGCTTCGATAATCCCGGCGGGATAAAAGTGCAGGTTAAAAGTGGGCGGAAGAGCAACGCCCGATGAGAAGTCGCCGCGACCCTTCTCTTCCATCGGGCCTTCCTTCGGGGTAAGGCTCATCGTGGCGAGTTCACGGATTACGCTAATAGGAACTCCGTGGAATTTATACCGGTGCCGGCTTAAAAGTTCAATTTCTGTTCGTGGCTCGAGCAAAGACCGAAACCGTCGATTCAATTACGATTAAAGGATTAACAAGGATGCGTAAGGGAGATCGGTCTCACTCTCCTCGCGCGCACCTTTCTCTCCTTTTCTCTCTCTCTCTCTCTCTCTCCCTTTCCCCCGTTCCCTGTCCCGTCCCGTCCTTGTTCAACCTTTTTCCTGCTTGAAAAGTGGAATATGCCTCGTCGAGAGGATCCTCCAGAGCATTGCCGAGTCGACTAGCTCAAGAGGGCATGATAATCCAACGAGGCTTTGACACTTGACTATCTTGCGGCTTCCATCGTGGAGTTTAACGCGTCTCTCTCCGGTCATTTTTCGTCCGTGCTTCCGCCTGATCGTCTGTATTCATTTTTCTTTTTTTTCTTTCTTTTTCTTTTTCATTTCATTGCCTCTAAAGGCCTTTTCAGAGGCAGAGAAAATCATTGCTTCCACGTTATTAAATATAATTTCGCGCTCGAAATATCAGAGAGAGAGAGAGAGAGAGAGAGAGAAAGAGAAACTCACCGTGATAAATTAAAGATCTGGAGACGTCACTGCTCTTACACAATCCTCTGGGTCTCTCTTTCCCCCGACACAGAGATTTCGGATATATAATCGTACGAAGCGTGGCGTCAAAGTTCGACTTAAATTTCAGAGTTCGTGCGCGGCCCCCGGTTAGTTGTCGCCGAGGTCGCAAGATTTATGAATTTCGGTAATACGTCTTAAATTCTGGAAATGTTTCGTTCAACAGCTTCGCACGTACCTTCATAAATCTTAGCCCCGGGATCGACCCGTTTTCTGTTGCAGAGTTCGGGAAAGGACGACTGGCGAGCACCTTGACGAACTTCCAGCTGCAAACTGCAAACTCGCAAGTTCGCCACGAGGGTCCAACGAAGAAGAACCACCGCGGGACCTGCCTCTCCTTCCTCAACGGAGACTTCCTTAAATCTATCTGGGATACGTCGGCCAAAGTGTTCGTAATAAATGAAGAATCTCTCTTCGTTTCCCTAGACGGCGAAAGTGTAACACAATACTTCAAACTCCACCCGTAACTATTCATCACCGCGCGTACGGAACGTCGAAACTATCACGCCGTGTTCCCCTTCGAACACCAACGAATGAAAAATTACACGTCAACGTCCGTTTGCCTTCCCTTCAACGGAACTGAAGTGTTTATTTCCGAAACCCTGGGAAAGTTATATATGAAAATGTTGCCGGCCATCCTCTCGATCAATTACAGCTCGATGAGTCACGTGTCCACTCGATAAAATCCCCTGCCATCCAGCGAAGTGATCTGTCTGAGAAACCTAAATTTTGTTCAACCGCTTTGCCTACGTACACCAAGTGCTTTCTCATTTTTTTTACTGTTCGATGCAAGAGGTCGTCGAATCCTGCGAATTGGAATAAGATTCTTTGCCGAAGTTTGCACGGCTTTTTGAACGAGAGAGAAAAAGGAGACAGGGAGATGGAAAGAAAGTTTCGATCGTTTCGTAGATCCTCCCGCGAGAAGAATTTCAGATGGAAATAAGTTATTGCCGTTACTTTCAGCGCATCTGTCGATGAAAGAGCGTTAACGGGCGAAATTCCAGTACCAAACCGATTTCCAATAATCGAGGCTTCGTTCTCGAACTTTCGCTCGTAACTTTGAAAATAACGAAGTATAGAGGGGGAACCTTGAAACACCGGCGAGAACGATAATTTGTCTTTCCGTCGAAACGAAGATTTTCCTTTTGTTTTTTTTTTTCTAACAAAGTCAATTCCGTGAACGACACGCAAGACAAGATTGTTGGAATTGTCGAAGAACAGCACTGTTAAATTTTGATAATTGTATACATTTAACGGTAGAACCTACGACTGACGTACAGTCCTTGAGACACGCACAAAAGGAACTTGAAGCGATTGAAGACTTATATCATACACGTTAATTAATCATTGACGAAACTACGATAATAAAGTTAAAGGGCAGAAGTTAAAATCGTCGAACATCCACTGACAATGAGACAGATTCTAGAAACAGATGCATCGTAGAGTTCGACCGTCACCTGTCCGAACGAATCATTGAAACAAAAAAGAAGAAGAAGAAGAAGAGAAGGAGGAGGAAGAAAAAGAAAAAGGAAGAAAAAGACCGAGACGTTGGAAGGAAAAGCACTAAAAAGCAGCTGACTCCTGGTGCTGGGATGCCCCCATGACAAAAGGGAGGCACGTGGTGATGTCTTGTTGTTGTTGGTGCTGCGACAACCTCGGCGGTGCCGGTTCTTCAAGTGCTGGTGCTGGGGGTGTTGTTACGGGTGCGTCTGGCGGCAGTGTTGTAGTCGGTACTAACGCCAACAACGCCGGTGGTGGCGGTCTCGGTATTGCTTCCGGTCTTTCAGCGATGCTGTCGTTGGTAGTCGTCACCGTTGCCATCAGTACAGGAGAGTGGCTTCTGACGGAAGAGAAACTACCAAAAACTTCATCGAACGCCTCTGCGGAACCAGACAGCAAAGTTACGTACAGTGGTCTGTGGAGAGTCTGCGTTGCCATAAGTAAGTAGCTTCAACTTACTCACGACGCTTCACAATTGCTCAGAAGTCTCCGGCTCCGATTGCCTGAGTGAATTTATATCTCGTCTTCTTTCTTTCTTCTGGTACTCGCTCTCGGGGAAAATATTCCTCGGAACGTATCTATTTTTATATCACAGTTGAATAGTTGAACAGATGAATGTAAACTTCTAACGCGACGTTAATTGCTCAAAGTTTTAGCCACGATGGCTGGTGAATTTATTTGTCGTCTTGCTTCTTTTTTTTTTTTAAACAGCTTTTTCTATTTGCTGAACGTGTCTGTTTGTTATATTAATCGTTGAATAATTCAATGAATAAATATAAACATTGCGGTTAGAGTTTGCGGCTCGAAGTTTCAGCTTCGATTGCCTATGAATTTACGTGTCATCGCGGTTCTTCCTTTCAGCAGCTTCGCTGTTTGCTTTCGAGTGAGAAAATATTGCCGGAACATATCTGTTTCTATATCAAATATTACGATATCGTTGAATAATTGAACAAACGAGTATAAACTTTGGGCACGAGTCGAGGAATGTATTTCGACGATAGTAAAATCCGTGATGTTTGAGAGGATAACGTTATGTTAATCTCCGGCGTTGTTTTCATAAACAAGACGCAAAACATTCCTCATAATTACCAGAATCAGCTTAAATCGTAATCTGCTTATAAAGTTCAGAAGAACGGCAGGACTTATGAAGATTAACCTGTACGCAAAAGTAATGGCAAACGAGTTCAGCGATGTAACATTGTTCCGTTCCGATCCTTTTATTCCAAACTCTGGTGTCAAGCTGAAAAATACATTATCGACAGAATAGTATAGTGATACGTGCTAAAAGATGACAAATGACAATGGAAATTTGAAAATATTCGAATGATGGCAGTAGCGGACGGAAGGAAATGTTGACTCGACGCATCGTACCCACCCATAATAATTCACCAACTTGAAACATAGTAGAGTAAAAGCTATTCGTTCGAAGAGAAAAGGGCAAGTAAATAAAATGCTCGAGATTGTCGCTCGGTTTCTTATAAAATTTAAAGGGCCACGGTACACCATAAAGGAGTAACTTCTATCGTCGACTTACGTCGGTAAAACAAGATAACGAGTGCACTCTCTATTCCGATTGCCCTCTTATTCTTAAAGTCTTTTTAAGTCAAGCCCAATGCCATGAAAGGATATTATCGAGCACTTTGTAGAGTACGCGATCTTGTAAAGACCGATCCGCTTATACTACTTGTATCGTGTTCGAAAAGTGATATAGAAATAGATACGACAGTGGGAAACGATAACGGAAATTGAAAAAGAGAAAAACGAACAAGAAGAAGAGGAGGGGCGGGGGAGGAAAGAACCGAAACGACGAGACGAAGCACCGTGAAGCCGGAAAATTGTTTGGAACCTTCTTTGAAAGTACACCAAACGAAGTGCTCGAACGAACAAAATTGTATATAAGGGAATCTAATTCGGTGTCGTTCGAGCTTCTTCCCAAGCTTTGAACCGCATCAAGGGATAAAACTAAAACAGTTACCCGTGCACCGTGGTCGTTTATTAGATTGGAACTTGAAAAAGTGTTTCGGGTATCGATCTATGTCGTATCGCGAAATTACAAAAGATTTCACCGTGTAAATGATACGTACTGTAAGTTTGCTGAAATTAATTAACCGTGCAACTATTCGGTGAGAAATTGATTTTCTGCCCATCGGAGAGGATTCCGGAAATGAGTAATGACCTCAGCGGACTACTATTTGTTTGCTAGCATTCAATTCCAAGTTTTCAGAGAAAACTAATTTTCCTGGGACAATGAGAATCAGTTTCTTCGAAAGAAGATTGAACCACTTCCGTAATTCCCCAAGACCTGAAGTTTCCTGTAACTCGTACCTCTCTACAAATCTTGTTAACCGCCGTGAAAGGATTTCCAACTTAAAAAGTGATAATATCGCTCTCCCCGTCGAGAAATCCATGCCGTGATCGAAAGACGCGCGAAGATTTTATAGAATGAGAAAGAGAAAGAAACAGAATACACTCGCCCGATTTTACTTGAATATATTTTCTCTTTTCTTTCCTTTTTATTTTAAATGTATTAATCGCAGTAGATCGACGCAAAGCGCCGAGGTAATTAACGGAATGCGCCGTTTAATATTCAAATGTCTGCAATTCCTTGACGTAGGAGCTAACTTCTGGATTGTGTCCCTCTTGGGTAGCACGTATATACCAAACTTTTCTGCCTGTCCGCAAACTCTCTCCGATGCCCCGTGGGCTTTCTCAACGTTGCTCTACGTGACCGTTCACTACGCGCATCTCAAGATAATAGAATACAATTTCAATAGGTTCGTGATACATGACCGAGCATCGATCACACCGTATTAAACTCTAAGCGTGCAAATTTCCAGATCCAACCCAGGTATTAAAACATCACGCGCCACTTAAGGGGGTATTCTGGTAATCCGGCTAGAAAAAATCGAATTTTTGATTTTTTCCGAGGAAACCATGATACATTTTGGTACGCAGTTTTCGCACACAGATTTATTCATACTTAAAGAGTATTTACCATTTTTCTCTTTTAACGAAATTAATGAAAGTTGTGGAAATTATATAGCCTTAGGTAAAGCATGTTTTTAAAAACGGGTTCGAATGGCATGACGTGATTCCGGTCCACCTGGTTGTGCGAAACTAAAAAACCAAACTGCATCTTAATTAGTATAAATATGGCTATCGTATGAACCACGGAAACAGCGAAATTTTGAAAATTAAAAAAATGGTAACATTTTGAAGTTAAAATATCGATTTTTCTTGTGCTTTTAGTCTTCTAGGTGGTAAAAAAAAAAAAATAGAAAAAAACATCAGATTTTGAAATCTGTGGTTCATACGATGAAAATCTCCTCTAAATTTCAAGTCAGTCGGTCAACTAAAACGTGAGATCCCGTCAGCCAGTTCAAAAGGTATGGATTTGAGAAAAACACGTTTGAAGTTTCTGTTACACGTTGTACAAAAATATTCATACTTACAATCAATCGAGCAGTACAAAAAATAAAATATTACAAAATAAAAACAATATAAAAATAAAATAATAATATTGTAAAAATAAAATATTTTTTGAGAAAAGCACATTTGAAGTTTTTGAAGTTTTTGTACAAAAATATTCATACTTGCGTTGCGAGCAGTACACCGTTTCCTTTAAACATCTATAACTTTGCTAATTTCACGAATTCAAACAAATCCTTTTACATAGATGTTTTCGAAAGCATACATTTTGAAAAAATTTAAAGAAAAATCGATCTTTTTTAAGCCGGATTACCAAAATACGTCCTTAAACCACCCTGTCACCTTTCAATCGCGTTATTCTGCGAAATAAATTTTTGGAAGTGACGACCAATTCGAACCGGTATAAAAATAACGAAGGAAAAATTGATTTTCGATGTATCGGAGATCTCTCAGCTGCTCCGTTAGCTTATTTTCCGTCCTCCGCTAAGAATCCTTCGATCGACACCGTTTCCACAGCGACTCTTCCTTCATGTCGAATTATTCCATCGCGTGCTCGCTCTTTGACACGTTACGCTAACTACGAAATCAAGTTTGTAACTTGAGAAACCGGAACGAGGAAATTAATTTCGGTTTCAAACACTTCAGAGATTATTTCTACCGGTTCCCTCGTAGGAGCGGTGGACGCTCCGCGAATAACTTCGACGGCCAACTTGCACACTTAAAAAGTAGATTTTTCATTTCGACGATTCGAGATATCGCCTTCCGTTTCCTAGTTCCGACGCTGCTTTGCATGGCCGTTGGCTGAAACTTTTCTTGAATACTTAACCAACGGGGACTTACGGGATCCCTCGAGTAACGTTATAACCCGAGTTTAGTGCGTGCCACACTCGCGAATAGCCAGACAGCACCATCTGCTTCTCTATCGACGTTTGTCTAACCCAAATATCCATGAAATATTTTTTATCTCAATCACGGCTGTTTAATATTCATCGTGTCGCTTTCATCCCGTAATGACGCTGAAAATTGAAAATATTTTCACGAAGTTAATCCACAAAGGTCGCCGAACGAAACATTATTACACGAATAATTGAAACGTTGATTTCGCCAACAATGAACCACGGGTTTTATATTTTATGTATATACATTTACATAGAAATACTGTACGTTCCCTGGCACTTTTAATTTCGCCGCCACGCGACACGTAGCACGTCGTGTCCTATGCATAGAAATTATAAATCTTTTCATCCTCTGTTAACTTTTATAGGTGCGCGACACTCGCGTGCTCGTCCAGCCTTAACCACATTGCCAGACACGTAGGTCTACGTGCTTCAACCTTTGAATATTAATGTCTAAACGGAGTCGCGATACCGGAGTCGCGAGAGATGTTCCTCCGTTATGTAACTCGCAGCCTTCTGCCAATGTAGCAACTTTGTTCGTTGTTGTTCCACCGTTAATTAATTACGACACAGTTGCTCAATCTGTGTTTGTTACCATTCACGGAGAGAAAGATTTCTTTCGCTTTGATACTCGCTTGTTAACCACAAGACGATAATCAGACGAATGCAACGGAGAATCAGAAGTATCACTCAGAAGTATCATACTTTTGTCAACTGATCGACAAGCCATTTCCAATCGTTTTGCTTCTTACTACGGGAGATTCTCGCCCGTCTGAGGAAAACAACGGAACGTTGCGTTTAACTCATAATATCTTCAAAACGTTTCGCCCTTGGCTATTCCGCTCCGCTATCTCGCAATGGAACGAGGCAGAATTAGATATACATACGTGTACGTACTTTGTGCGTGAAACGAGCTCGGTATCTACGACGAAACGCCGTTTCTTATCTCACCAGATAAGAACAATTTATTTTAAACATACCGCCGCACTTTTGCATCGTCGTCTGTTATCTATCGCTTGATTCCCATAATTTGTAATTATTCGACCGAGAAATCACACGCGTGCTCGTCTTTAAATGACACGAACCATCGCGAGTCCCGTTGCATCTGTTAACAA